TCTGACCCTGGTACCACAAACACATCCTGTGGGGACAACACTTCTCACCACCATTCTCTGACACTGGGTACCACAAACACATCCTGTGGGGACAACACTTCTCACCACCATTCTCTGACACTGGGTACCACAAACACATCCTGTGGGGACAACACTTCTCACCACCATTCTCTGACACTGGGTACCACAAACACATCCTGTGGGGACAACACTTCTCACCACCATTCTCTGACACTGGGTACCACAAACACATCCTGTGGGGACAACAATTTTCACCGACAATTTCTGACACTGGGTACCACAAACACATCTTGCGAGGACAACACTAATCACCGACAATTTCTGACACTGGGTAACACAAACACATCCTGTGAGGACAACACTTCTCACCGACAATTTCTGACCCTGGGTAACACAAACACATCCTGTGAGGACAACACTTCTCACCGACAATTTCTGACCCTGGTACCACAAACACATCTTGTGAGGACCACACTTCTCACCGACAATTTCTGATTCTGGTACCACATACACCTCTTGTGAGAACAATATTTCTCACTGACACTCTCTGACACCAGTTACCATCAACACGTCTTGTGAGGACAACACTCCTCCCTTACACACTCTGACACCAGTTACCATCAACACCTCTTGTGAGGACAATATTTCTCACCGACACTCTCTGACACCAGTTTCCATCAACACGTCTTGTGAGGACAATACTCATCCCTTACACTCTCCGACACCAGTTACCATCAACACGTCTTGTGAGGACAATACTCATCCCTTACACTCTCCGACACCAGTTACCATCAACACGTCTTGTGAGGACAATACTCATCCCTTACACTCTCCGACACCAGTTACCATCAACACGTCTTGTGAGGACAATACTCCTCCCTTACATTCTCTGACACCAGTTACCATCAACACGTCTTGTGAGGACAATACTCCTCCCTTACACTCTGTGACACCAGTTGCCATCAACACATCTTGTGAGGACAATACTCCTCCCTTACACTCTGTGACACCAGTTACCATCAACACGTCTTGTGAGGGCAACACTCCTCCCTTACACTCTCTGACAACAGTTACCATCAACACGTCTTGTGAGGACAATATTTCTCGCTTACACTCTCTGACAACAGTTACCATCAACACGTCTTGTGAGGACAATACTCCTCCCTTACATTCTCTGACACCAGTTACCATCAACACGTCTTGTGAGGACAATATTTCTCACCGACACTCTCTGACACCAGTTACCATCAACACGTCTTCTGAGGACAATACTCATCCCTTACACTCTCTGACACCAGTTACCATCAACACGTCTCGTAAAGACGGTGCCCCTTACTGCCACTCTCTGACACAAGTTACCATCAACACGTCTTGTGAGGACAACACTCATCCCTTACACTCTCTGACACCAGTTACCATCAACACGTCTCGTAAAGACGGTGCCCCTTACTGCCACTCTATGACACACCTTCCTTTTATACCCAAAATTGTCAAGCATGCCCTTGGCAATCAGATTTTTGTTTTACCTACATGTTTATTCTACATGTGATTTGTTCTGAGAAGTACCTCTTTTCAAACATATGAATATCTCATTGTTAATATAAAATTTGTTGAAGACGCTAAAGGAAGTTTAATCAAATAAAGAATTACAAAACAGTGATTTATTGATCAATTGTATATATATAAGAATGTAAAAATCAATATTTAGAATAACAGTGATACAGTCTTGTATAAATACTGTTTATTATAGCTTTCTAAAGACCAGCTACAGAAAACTTAAAGTCATCATATAATAAAGGTGATGTGAGGTTTATATAACAGCATCTTGGCCCATAACACTGGCTCTTGAAAGGGTTCAAATCTTTGGTCCATGAAATTTTGATAGAAAATAATCAAATTTGGTCGAAAAATATTGGCAATTCAATGTTCATATGATTCTGATAATGTCAACTCCAAAAGGTGTAGGTAGACATCTCACTGTTCTATGAAAATTTGTTGTTTTTTCTGGCTGTGATGATATACATTCCCCCGGGATTTAGTACATTACAATGGAATATACCCGTCGGTGCGGCGCGAGTGACATAGGGTCCCTACAATATGTATACCTACTGTCAGAAATCAATGCTCCACACCAGCTTTAGCAGCCTTACATGGACTCTACTTTATCCCAATGGCCAGCAGAAGCAATGTGATCATAGATTTTTTTTAACATACACAAAAAAGAGCGAGCTCTAGAGAGCATGTCTAAGGCATCTGCCTAACCAATAACCTCAGCAATGGCCGCTCGCATGCTCATAGGCTCGACAAAACTGATGTTGCCACGGAAACATACCAATGGGGTATCCACTTCCTTTTCAGGTGAAGTTTGTTGTTTACAAGTAATGCACAGGTAGGATAGTTGTTTATATGGGTGATGCAGACATCATTTGGAGAGAAAGGAAGGGGGGGTGTTAAATATGTGACGTAAGAGCCATCTACACATACGTATACAGAGAAACCAAGCGACACTTCAGCTAAGTTTCACCACAAAATTCCATTTCTCCACTGATCTGAAGACAATAATCTGACCATGAAGAATATTTGAAGATGTGGAGAGCTACAGGTATGGGTGACATAACTAGAAAGGTTCTATAATTTCTGAAAATTTCTCTTTTTGCTCAAAAGACTTGCTTAAATATACGTGACGTAATCTTAGCGCCTTATACATACAAACGATGGAAGCCATGTTTGACCAAATGGACGCACATCTCCAAAATCAATCTTTTTGTACAGAGAGCAAAACTGAAGCATCTTGTATTTCTGGCCTACAGGTATCACAGTTCTCATATCAAATTCATTTATTTCTGTGGCATAACAAATTCTTCTTAAATGTATATTAAACAAATTTCAATAATTTTTTCTATATGGAGGAAGTATTCAGAATAACATGAAGATGGCTTCAAAATTAAGTAAAAACCAAACCAGTTAATAATAATCCAGTGTTACATGTGCTTTATACAAGACATATCAGGAAGTGCTTCATCATTAAGTTAGAAAAAAAATCCTTCTGTCTGTCCATTCACCCTACCATTCACCTGACCAATCACAAGTTATTTCCATACAACACTGTAACATGTATAATGAAATGTGTCTAAGAATTTTCTCATTTTTTTCTTTTTTTATACTTGCAACTTCAAATATCACAGAAACAACATCAATGATTCCCAATTAAAATGACAATATCTTACATTATAAATTATAAGGATGGTTTGATAAAAAATTGATGACTTAACTCATGAGAAATCCTTTGTCAGTAATGTTTTCTGTCATTACAATCAACAGCTAATCACAAATGTTTCATAAGTAAACAAAACAGAAAAAGAAAATCGTTGAATTGTCCTTATCCATTCATTCAAGAAGGCATTGTTTTATCTCATTTTGGGAGAAAGTTTCAAGGGTAGCCTGTATATTTTGGAAATGAAATAAATCCATTTGGGAACTGTGCCCAACACAGCCCCCCTGAAAATCGCTGTGTGTAAAGGGTTATATAATTGTACAAGTGAAATTTCAAGCACTCGTGAGACAAAAATGAGGCCATTCATTATGATGAAAATCATCTTATGTATACATGTTATAAGAAATACACATTGTACATTCAACATTTCATAGTAAAATAAGTTTTTAAAACAAGAAAGAAATATTCTCTTTTGTCCAATTAATAATACTTCTCCTTGGTATAGAAGTAAATACAACTAACCGCACAAATCTGCAACAATTTCAAAACGTTATTAAAACCTAGACATTGGTTCTAGGAATTTTTTATAATATTTTGGTCAGGTGGAAATGAGGTTAACAAGGATAAAAAAGTTTTGAGATAAGTGTTGTGGTGGAGGAGTAGGATACTTTGGGACCTCAGTGATATAAACTATGATATGGATACAAAATTTGCAAATTTTATAAACATCTACGAAATGTTCTATACATACAAAATTCTGTAGCAATATTAGCTACATAAAATATTACAATAATTGGTAAGATATAAGTAGCATATGTAAATTACACCATTTATTAATTCTTGGTACTGGTGCACTTCCCCATCTTGATTCTGACTTTTCTTTCCATCAAATTTGGTTTCCCTTAAGGTTTCCAAATTTAGCCCCTAAGCATCACTGAAGAGTCATAGAAGGACGAAACAAACATGTATATTTGGAGTTCAGTTCATTATTTGACTTTACTGTATCTAATTCTAAATTTGTATTACAGGTGCTGTTCACTTGTGTTTCCTTTGTACAATCATACCTTTTAGTAAAATTGGATTCAACTTGGGTCAATTTTTTTTTAGGACAAAATCGTACTCTACAGTGTAAGTTCAACATATTATACCATCAGAATACACTGCCAGTAAAATATTTGAATGATTTTAGTCCAGATCAGAACACCATATTCAAAATTTTGACAAGTCCCATCATAAGGAGATAGTATAGGGATCTATAAAATAGAAAAGTCCTAGAGAAAAAACAAGAATCCTAGGACTCAAAAATCTGAGTCCCAAAAATCACTGGCTGTACTTCAACAGTGATTCTTGTTAAATGAACTTCAGTTAAACATGAACAATGAAGACAAATTAATTAACACAACAATAAATGTAACATAGAATCACCACCATAAAAATTCTATGTAGTGATGATAATAACACAGCCAAACTGTGCAACAAACATACATGCATATTAACACAAAATCTATAACACACATTTTTGCAATCAAACACATCCATTTCATGTCACAATAGTTTACAACATTATAATACACCCAATGGTTACCATGGGAACACATTATCATAGACTCAAGAAACAGAAACATTTATCTTTCTCCTTCAGGTTTATCTCTATAACTGTCAAAATATTGCTCAATCTTTAACTCAAATTAATCAATTTATTATTACAAAATGACTTGGACACCCCACTAAAAGAGTTAAAATAGAAAAATGAATAAAAACTCACTTTTCCATTGCCCTGGCAACCAACTGAAGGGGAGACCGGCTACCATGACTGAAATGGATGTGGAACAAAAATGGTCAAAGATTTTGATAGAACAGAGTTGAGAATGTCTTACATCTATAATTATATACTTATTTACTGTGACATTTACACTGTGAAAGTAACAGAATAACTGACATAAATCACTAAATCAATTGATGAAAAGCCTGAAAAGCTTGAAAGGGAGATAACTCTAAAACAATGTATCATGTTCAAGGTAGCGTATATCCTTAAATCTTTCTGAATAATTGTCCAAGTCTTTACCAACACATTATAGGTTCAGTCTGTAGATTTAACCATCACAGTATTGATCTTTTACATAAGAACAAAAAAAAAAGTTTAATAACATTAAAAAACATTAAAATGAAAATCACATATAAAATTGAAAACAATTTGAACTTTTAAGTCTTCATAAAACCATCTCACCTGGTCCCATTCTGAAATATTACATGAAAATAAGCCACAATTTCAATCAATTAAAATCAATCAAACAAAGATACAATGCACATCTTAAGATAATTTTTAAATATACAAAGACCAAACAGTGATAGCCATGAGACAGCAAGGACGTTTCTGGAAAAAAAAAATCCTGATTAAGATTTAATGTCTTTGTATATCACTTAAGGTCCGTACATACTGCCAACACAGTCTCACCAGTGTCCTTCTTATACAGGATGATACACTACACTGGGGAAGTCAGTCATTCAACAGTTAAAGGGAGACAATCCACTGCTATAAATGTCAACATTACTTACCATCAAACATGTTCTATTTTCACACTTTTGAGTGATACATACATATATACTTGAAACTGGAATACAATTTCTCATTATTCAAGTATCAAGGTTTGCAGGGACATCTATAAATGTTCTTATCCAGTTTATACTAGAGTTATTTTTTTTTATTCAGTGAATTATCTCAAAACTAAGATGTGTTATATATGTGTTTTATAATTACTGAGCATAAACACAATTCAGATTCATCCTATAACACAACAGAATTTTCTCTTGTTTGTAATTTTTGTAGAAATTTTCCAGGTGTGTGTCGAGGTAGAGTGGGGTCTTAAAATTTGAGCGAGTCCCACAGGAAGAGTAGAAGTCCAGGACCTAAACATCCGAGTCTCAAAAATCACTGTTTGTATGTATACTTCAGAATCAATCTCAAGTTTATAATGTTTGTATATTTAAGAATCCATTTCAACCGTAAACTTTTTGTTGATTGTAGAATCCATTAAATGATCCATCTCAGACACATCAATAATTTGTAAGACAACAGACTGATTCAAGAAGAAATTTTGAGTCTTGTTATTTTGAAGCTCATGTAACTCAAATACACCATTTAAATCCAAGCATTTCATCTATACAAAAAATTTCACACCAAACAAGTCAGTCAAATGATTATCTGAAAGGCTTCCCATGGTCCTCTCCCCCACTCCCCCGACAATGAGATAATAAGGTTCGACTATATCATTAGTAATTATTGATGTAGTCTAACAAGAATTATCATTATGATAAAAAAACTACTTCAAATCTTAATAGATTTTTTATCCTACAATCATGTGTAATAATTATATGTGTCATTACAGATATCAAGCACTTTGTACTTTTATTAAACACTTATTGTATAGGTAGCAACATTTGTTAATTACGACGGTTTAAACCTGACCGTGATTTTAAAGCCAGTCTGTTTCAGAAACAGTTTTTAGACCACCTGTATTCTCAGATTTTTACCTGCCTCTAAATTATTTTGGTCTAAAACTTCAGTCTCCAATTCCTCAATGTGTTTGTTGTTTATTTTCCCTGTTTAAGTCATGTAGATTTCAAAAAAAAAATTTCAACACTTTCTAAAATGTCAAGAAACCAAATGCACTTGCCTGATTTCGTTTGTACCCTTTCACCCTCCCCCTAATTTTCTACTTCTGTGGCACAAAAAATGCCCAATATCTGGCAGGTGATAAGGTAAATCCCGACAAAGGCCTCGAAAATGCTGGTTACATATAATTTTGTAGATGTAGGTGTTGAAGATTCTGAAGATTTTGATGTATTATGCTTGATAAGAACAATTCTACAACATGACCTACTGACCTCAATGGTCATGATGTACTCATTTTTGGATAATTTATGCGTACAGGAAATTCACATTTTATACATAAACTATTTTCATTGTTATTTTCACTATATATATGATTTTGTAACAACTATGTGGTGCTGTTGTATTCTTTTTCAGAGATATTTGGGCCTACTGCTGAAAGTAGTGTGCTAAAATAAGATAGAGCTATTTGCAGTTTATGTACCAAATGTAAGTAGGATTAAATATATCCCTGTGGATGCACAAATCCATCATTGCACTGATTCAATTTAATTCAATAATGTTTATTGTATTTGAGATACAGGTGCATGGAAGTACAATGGCCTCAAAACCAATCCTCTCCTGTGTAGTTCGTTCGTTCAAATCACAAAAATATCCCCCTCATAGAATACTTAAGTTTACAGAAAAGATCTCTCACCTTTCACTGAGGAGACACCTGTTAAATTCCCCAACTAAACACAAAAGGATACTGGGTTACCTAACTTATTATGTGAATTTTCCTTGGTTACTCCAGATTATTTTGAATTCGATTGAACAATGGCAAGGTTCAGAACATACATGTATATATGTACTTGATTGAAATTAACATTATCATACATGTATGAACATTACCAAATTTGTCAAATTATGGGGTGTATCTCTTCATTTAGATTTTGAAATTTCTTCCGGTCAATTTTGGATTTCCTCCACTATATCCTAGGTATCAAAGTTTAGGCTTGTAGAATTACCAACCAGACCTAGAAAGATTGAAAAACTGCAGGATAAAGTAAGTTCACCATTTCACACTTCTGTATCTTGATTTGTACTGAAAAGTGCTCTTCACCTGTTGGTCTTTCGAACAACATTCTTCATACAAGCCACCAACAGTTATTAATGGATGTGTTACAATTGTCATCTAGTGAAGTTTTAATTGAAAAGGGTTTTTTTTACAAATGTCATCTAATGAAGTTTTAATTGAAAAGGGTTTTTTTACAATTGTCATCAAATAAAGTTTTAATTGAAAGGGTTTTTTTTACAATTGTCATCAAATAAAGTTTTAATTGAAAGGGTTTTTTTTACAATTGTCATCAAATAAAGTTTTAATTGACGTTTTTTTTTACAATTGTCATCAAATAAAGTTTTAATTGACGTTTTTTTTTTACAATAACAGATACAGAAAACTACACTTCAGATTTAGTGGAAATTAAGAGTACCTACAAGCACCACAAAATTTTTTAAAGCCTCCTATTGAAAATTAAGAAATTTACCATCAAATGTAAAGGGAATGTCCCTTTTTTGCTGGTTTTTTTGGTAAAAAACTTTTCAAATGTATAAAAAATGACAGCATTATATTTAGGACAGATATTTCTGTTCAGATACAGAAATTGTACTGACGGTCAACTGGCAATAAACTATGAGAGATTTCATAAGGAACATTGTGCCCACCGCTGTTGAACAATATCATATTTTCCTGGTTATAAGCTGTACTGGTTTATAAGCCACAGGGCCAGCTTTTAGCAAATTTTTTCTCGATTTGATCCACATATAACCTCCACCTGAATATAAGCTGTACACTTTCTTATGATACGGAGACCACTGTTGTGACTTTTAGAAATACTGGTAACAGATAATGGAAGGCAGTTCTTACGAAGTGGTAACCATCACCCTGACCAAAGTTTGTTGATATAACAGACAATGAAGGGCAATTTAAAATCAAGATCATCAGGTGAAACATTTAGTAAAGTTTGCAAATGAATCATACACAAATAATCCTTTATTTTATTGTTGTATTTCAAAAAATGTAAAGCAGCAATATTTCACTCATTTGGCTTGACAGATTGTCTACAGCTTTAGATATAGAGCTGACATTACCTACAGTTTACTAAACAATCTCTCCATCAGTATCTGTCCTGTTATATATTATTTATATCATTAATGTTAAATTTGACCAAATTCTTATAATTACATATTATTTCTTCTTGTTATGCGAAGCCATTCATATCTTAAACAAGCATGACAGGCATTCTAGAATTGTACCTATAACCTGATGGCCCATTATCCCAGGATGCAAAAGGATATTGTAATCATCCTCTATGGATTCGAGGAAACTGCAAAAGTCCAGAAGATATTATTGTCATTCATATTAAAAGGTATAATTAATTGAATCCACAAGAATGCTATTTCTATTTCAATCTTTGAATCATCCTGTATACCTATTACAAATGATGGTTCAAGACAATCTGTTTCAGTAACAAACACATCACTGCCAGGTACTCATTAAAAAAACTCAGTATCATCTCGTACTGGTGTAAGGGCACGCTTCCTGGGTTTTTTTTTCATCCTGCCAGATTTTTTTTTTGTCCAGAAATACCACACATTACATGCAGGGTAGAATTTTTTGTATAGATACAGAAATACCACATTTTATATTCGGGGTAGAAATCTCTGTACAGATACATAGATATCACTTTACATTCTGGGTAGATAATTCTTTAAATTCAGGGGAGATAATTCTGTGATTGACCTGTCGGAACATTTTCCACAGAAAACAACAAATAATAAGGCATTCCCTATCTACATAGCATGATAAATTCCCCAATTTTGATGGGACAATTTAGAAAAGTTAATAGTATTTGTCCTGAGACTCGTATTTAGATTTCTCTACAGCAAAGGTCTGATTTCTCAGCTTCCTGAGAAACATATCATCTCATGTTTATTTTTGATAAGTTATTTATTAAACTAACAATACAGTTCATAACAGAAATAGATTGCCCTTAAGTGAGTATGGGGGACTTACGCATAAAAAAACTCCTCCATGTTTTATTTGTTTGACGTAATATCTACTATTATGTCATTTTGACTTTTCAGACAAGCTCTGAATTCTATATCTATTCGGGGTATGGGCTTAATACAGACTTGGAATAGCATTTTTGATGTTAGTTGGC